TAATAGTGCATGATTAATTAATGACCAAATTTAATTCTTCTCTACGTCTTTAAGATTATTTAAAAAATCATATTTTGTTATATACCTATCGCCCGGGATAGATGGAAAGAATATTTTCAGGAGCTTCTCAACTTTAATTCCCACATATTGCATCTCGACGAACACTCCCCTTGTCAGAACCTTGTACAACCTATAACAGAACAAGAAATAATCACATGCCTCAAGCATATGAAAAACAACAAAGCTAGGGGTCCAGACGATATTCCAATAGAAAGCCTTAAAGCACTAGGAGATGATGGAATACATCTCCTCACAAATCTGTACAATAAAATACTTGGAAATGAAGAGGTCCCCCAAAAATGGAGGCAGAGCTATCTAGTTCCTATCTTCAAAAATAAAGGGGATCCACACAATTGTCAAAATTACAGGGGCATAAAACTAATGTCACACTGTCTAAAACTATACGAAAAAATAATAGAAAAAAGATTAAGAGATATAATCGAAATAGGAGAGACACAGTTTGGCTTTATGCCTGGAAGATCAACAACCGATGCTATCCATGCAATTAGGCAAATGAGTGAAAAATACAGGGAAAAGAACAAAAAGCTACACATGGTCTTTCTCGATCTAGAAAAGGCCTTTGATAGAATCCCAAGAAAACTTATCTGGTGGGCGCTACGCCACAAAAAAGTTCCCGAAAAATATATAAGAATAATAGAGGATATGTATATGGGACATACAACAATGGTCCGTAGCACAACAGGTACTTCAGCAGGCTTTACAATAGCCGAAGGAGTTCATCAAGGGTCGGCTCTCAGCCCACTTCTCTTCATTACAGTAATAGATGTATTAGCACAGTCTATACCTCAAACAGTCCCGTGGAATATGATATTTGCAGATGATATTGTGATACTTGCCGAATCCAAGGATGAAATGAAAGAAAGGTTAGTGAATTGAATAAATATCCTAGAAACGCACGGATTAAAAGTAAATAGAGAAAAGACGGAGTATATGGTGATAGGAGGAGATGAAACGGAGAGTATTGATATAAATGATTGGCAGATATCCGCAATTGAAAGCTGCAAATATTTGGGCTCCACTATACAAACAAACGGCACAATAGAAAAAGAGATAAAGAATAAGATTAATCAAGGGTGGTTAAAGTGGAGATCTTTATCTGGAGTGCTATTTGACAAAAGAATCCCACACAAATTAAAGGGAAAAATTTACAGTTCCATAGTACAACCAACTATTCTATATAGTTCGGAAACATGGCCAACCAAAGAATCAGACGAGAGAAGTCTACAAACTATGGAGATGAGAATGCTGAGGATGATTGCTGGGGTAACAAGAAAGGATAAGGTGCGCAGTACAAGAATACTAAATAGTTTAAAGGTAGTGCCCATTAAGACTAAGTTAATGGTAAACAGACTTAGGTGGTTTGGGCACACAATGAGAAGGCCTATGAACTACATAGGAAATAAAGTTGAAAGATTGGAAGTGATGGGCAAACGTAAAAGAGGAAGGCCAAAACTTCAATGGGGCCATAAAGTTATAGCCAATATAAAGAAGTAAAAAATAGATAAAAGAGATTGTACGAATAACATAAAGTGGAGAGAGATGTTGAAGGAGCTTACCACCAGAAAAGGTGAAAGCTAAAGAGAGAAAAAAAAATTTTGTTATATACCTCCTGTTCAAATAGATCTCCTTCCCTGAAGAAAACATATGCAAATAAGCAAAAATAAAAATTTAGTTACTTAATACGTGAGTTTTAATAAAGGGCGTTCAGTCGATACAACTATAAATGGAAGAGCTAGTATAATCCTCAAAACAATGTACATACTTGGCAGAGCTTCATTATGACTCTTAGTGTAAATATAGTCAAAAATTATTAAAGGGCTTTTTATAGTCTGCATAGACGATATATTTAATTTATTACAATTTTTATTCAGTTAAGATTTATCTTATTAATATTGCATTCCAATGAACCTGGATCCATTAATAAAATTTTAATTGATTTTTTTTTCCTAGCCTTGTTTCAATCGCATATGCCAATTCAGTTATATAGGAAATTTAACTGCTGAAAACGTTTAACAAAGAAATCCTCCGACAATTTTTAGATCGTATAAAAGCCCATCATCTCCTTCAAAAAAATTCTTTTGAACCGGTTGTTATCGAATTGATATTAAAGAAAAGCACAGCTCCTCTAAACTATTTCAATTCATTCCCAAGTTCTTTCGCTGAATTGAGAATTCTGAAAGCCGTTTTCCTTAAAACAATCTATTGAATCTTACCTTTTTTAAGGGTAATGGCTCTTTATAATTGAATGTTGGTTGTCACTTTGCGTGACCTTACTTACTAAATTCACCTGCGTTAAAAACTCAAACCAAATTTCAGAGTTAATAAAAATGGAAATTGTTTTTAATTTTTTTAGCCACATTATTTATTTATCCTGCGTTTATTAAAGTATATATATACATATCAATACTCTTATATCCAATAACCTTTGCACTCTTCACTTTTTACACTCCCCGTTTCCAATAACAGTTTTATAAAATTGTTCAAATGCTCCTACAAAATTGCCATTGCTGAGTCGAAGCAGGAAATATTCTGTGAACAAAGCCAAAAATTGAATTTGCTACTGGTGATGATTGTGTCTTGTCTCCAAAAAGCAGATTTAAGCTGTAACGGCCGCCAGACATCAAAAATGCTTTTCGATTTATTTATAACCTTTTCTTCAATAACATCAATTCGAAGACGGAAAGTTCAAAAGCATATTTCTTAAGAAGGAGATGGCACGCCTATATATGATCTCCCTCTTTCCCCTCCAAATATCGGATTAAATTTTAACGTGTTACTCTATCAAGCCAGGAATTCGTTGGAAGAACGTTTTCAGCAGTTAAAACTAAGAATTATTTTGGGGTTTTAACGTATTAAAAAAAATTATAATCAATCAAATATTTTATTAACTGATCAAGATTCGTTGAAACGATATTATCGCGTTAAATCTATTAACTGAATTAAAACTTTAAATAAATTCATTATGCAAACAGACATAAAGAGCCCTTTACAAATTTTAAGCTATTATATACTGTATATATACGGACGGGCATTATATAAAATTATAAAGACGTTACTCATTTATTATTGAAATTCAATAATCTTATCATACTATGTGCTATGCTTTTAGTATTTGTCAGAATGATAAAAAAAATTATAAACTGAAATAAATTGTCATTTTTAGAGGGCCGCTCAATTAGTTTGCCCTGGACCGCTAAAACTCTCTGCACGGCGCTGTTGCAAATTATTATTTTTTTAAATTATTAAGAAAAAACAAAATTTCACTAAAAATATGAACTAGATTTTTGCCACACATGTTTAGGCCTTTAAGCCGCCGGCATGAAGTAATTTTCTCCATGCTGGAAAAGCTGCCGATTAAGATAAACCGCGCCGCCAGGCGACGGTGCGGCATGTTAATTATATTTATATGTTAAATTATTATTTTCTAAATTTTAATATAAAATCAATAAAATATGAATTGTATTTATATATAATAGTACTCATTGCAATATACCAAATCGAATTAATATGAAAACCTTATCAAAATGGTGGCCTACCCGCCCTGTTGTCAACAAAAGTCCTATAATCAATATGGTAAATGAAATAGGAAAACAATCTTTAAGCATCCTTATAACTGCTTCAGAATATTTAATTTCGAATTCTACTACATCAATTCAATTTTTAATTAGACATTTAAAACTTATGGAAATGCAGAGAATGAGATTCTATTTAAACATTCAATTCTTATTTAGCGAAAATAGCTAAGAATTACTATCAGGCCCATAGTAACTGGTGGGGGCAGGCCTCCTCAAAGATATTTGGCCTTAAACATGGCCCTCGGTAAAATTTTGGCCTCCCCAAATGACCCCAAAAATTTTTTCCAGCTCCCAAATTTAAAAGGATATACCAGTTATTGAATATTAATTTGTCATCAATAATTCTAAGTTAAAAAACAAATTGTTTTTAATATTTATTTAATCAAATTAATTGGATAAAGAAGAAAATACTTATAAAAATATTAATTATAAAATTTCCATTCACTCTTTAATAATTAAATGGAAAAACAACATCCGCTTCTTTTATTCCTCGACAAAGTGACATTAGTGTTGGTAAATTCGTCAGTTCCCGCTATGATTCTTCTCAATCTCTTATTGAACATGGTAAGTCAGCTATTGTTAGGGATATTTAATTGATTAAACAATTATGATTAATTATAGATATCGAAAACTACTTCCTGCTTATCACGCTATGATACCTAAACATTAATTAGACCAATACATAATATAATATTTTAAAAAAATTTAAAGAAAACGAATATTCTTACATGAAGAGGACGAATAATTTTTCAAAATACCTACTTTCCTAGTAAGTTTAATAAATAGCAAAATACTACCTCCACTCACGCGATCATACTTAAACGTTTGATCAATAACATATCAAATATTAGAATAATATATAAAACTTTAAAGAGGACCATTTTTTAAAGATGAATATATACTATGGAGAGGACGAATATTCTTTTAAAATATTAGTTTTCCTAGTGGAGTATAACTGAACGGCCCTCACTACCTGTAACCAGTACACCTAGCCAAATGATATTTTCCATCGAATGCCAATCTAGACAAAATAATATTTATTCACACCAATTATAATGTGAAATTCAACTAAATTTAATTTCTAATTTATTTATATTTCTTACATTATATCTTGTTTGCATTTCAAATTTATATATAAATTTGTTTTGATAAAAATCGATAGAATATTACTGATGTTATGCAAGACTCTGACCTTGGTAAAAAAGACAATTCCTTAGTTTATTCAGAAAATGATTAATACTTAAATTTATGAGTGGGTCAGTATATTATTTAAGGACTGAACTGTATTAATAATATTGAAACTAAGAGTCCCCAAATAAATTATAAAAAATGTAATTTCATTTTTTATAATATGTAGCGCTGCCAACGCTGCTGCTACTCATGAGGCTGAGGCTAATTAGGCGTGCTGAAACGCGACTTCGGCGCAAAGGTCTATATATGCTATAATTATTTTTCAAAAAATCATAAAATAACTAAACAATTTATTTTTGAGACTTGTAGAGATACCATTTGCACGGCTTGGTTTTATATTTTCAGGCCCGGCCCGATTTTATTTTTTAAAAATATATTATTATTTATTTGTAATTTTTTATAGTTAATAATGGCGATTTAAAATATTTTGTTTTAAAATATTGCCCGGGTATACTTTAAAGAAAATACGACGCTGCTTTACCCGGGTCGGGCTTCATGTTTTTTTTCTTGAGAGGCTATAAATGTTTAGAGCAAAATTTGTTCTCCGCGAGAATTTTTTTAACAATTTACATATCTGAATTAATACAGGATTGGACTGGATTTTTAAAAAAAATATAATAGTCTACGACTTTTAATTTACAACGAACTTAAGAATGCATATTAATTACTATACTTATCCAAACAAATCAAAAATAATTTAATATTAATAATTAGTTTTGTTAAACGGCTCGTTTTGACCCGGTTTCAATAAACGGCTAACTCAATATTCTAGCTAGAAAAATATTGCCTCCTCGAGATTTCGCTAATAGATGTCTAACCTTTGTGCCATCTATAAGCAAAAATCTTTAGGCTTGCCTAATATTTTTCTGGATAAAATATAGTTAGCCATTTTTAAAAATCAACTCAAATCGAGCCATTTGGCAACATTACTAATCGAATATTTTTAAAAAAAACTTTCTTATGATTGACAATTTCAAAATAAAATTAGATACTTTTCTTTTCTCCAAAATGGTTTTGAAAAATTTAATAATTTGATTTTAAAAATTACTTGATTATCATTTTTATTAAAATAATAGTTTAGGAAAATAAATTACTTTATATTTTAACTGACAAGGAATGAGCAAGGAACTTTCTTAACCTTTTCTTAATTTAAATATTAAAAATTATACTTTTTAAATGATTATACTTACATAAATTATTTTAATTGAATATATTTTTCCTTTTCTATGCACTTAACCTTTGTTGATTCTTCATATATTATATAGGAATTTTAGGAAGCGTTTTAACATTAAATTTAAACTATTTTTTTTAAAGATGTTGATAAAAATATTATTTCTAGCTCTTAAAAAAGGTGGTGTTTATGATTAAAAAATTATTTTAGTTATAAATAATGTTTATTTAAGTAACACTTTTATTTATACCTGTATAAGTAAGAAAGGTAAATATTATTTTGAATGGTAAAAATTATACAGGTAAATTCATACTTTAAAAAAATATTATATTATTTAAACGTTTATTTAATATTTTTTTTTTCGTATATATAAATTAAATGTATAAAAATCTTAAATACAATGTAATATAAATATAATTTTGTATTCCCTTATTCATTTTTTCATGCCATAGAGCTTTCTTATAAAAATATTGACTAATTTTGGGATTAATTTTCCGATTACGTCATTAATTTAAAAAAAAAAAAATGATTTCTTACCTTATTTTTGGGCCAATTCGATTTTAAAAATTTTATTAGAATTGACCAAAATATTCGTATATGTTGATTATATATTCCTTTTACCTATCTATGTATATAATTAGGGGACCAAAATAAAATATAATTTTATTTACTTAATTTATTTACACAGGGTTTATCAAAAGATTTTCTATCCTTTGGACATGGCTATTCTTAACTTCGGTTAGTTGCGCTCATTTATATATTTATATAATTGCCATGTTTTTTAATCCCGTTAATATCTATTTTAATTTAGGAAATTAATAAATTTGATTTGTCCGAATTCGGTTGCTGTAAACCAATTTTTGTAATTTTTTTTATCAAATGCATCAGTAAGCATAAACTATTTTTAGTACATTTAATTAATTATAAAATTTGAGATCTTTAGCAAAAGAAAGAAACTGTATATTTGTAATATGCAAAATTGCTTATATACATAATTAACTATTAAATCGTATAATGTCTCTTAAAGTTGATTACGAACTGATTGAAAAGAAGAAATCTCGACACATTTACTAAGCTGGATTAATCGCCATACCTATCTTCAAAACACTTAAAGCTGCATTTACTTTCCTCATCTTCAACGGATTACTCAACGGGAAGGATGTCATATTTCAAGGATAGAAATATCTTAACCAACAACGGGTTTTCGCCTATAGGTTTAAAAAAATTATTTATATATATTTTTTGATAAATTATCTTCTTTAAATTTAGTTAACGATTAGAAAAAAAAACTTGCATGGTTAAAAAAAAAACAATATTTTCTCTGCTGCTCTTATATATATTTAAAATTTTCACGAGTGTGGTTTCGGTTTGCTTAACTTTTTACATTCAAATCATAATATTTTTCTAGTTTCATTTTCAATCTTGCATAATAAGAACTATTTGGATTGGTAATAATTGAATGTATGAATTAATTTAATCCCAATTGTATATTATAAATTAATATTAATTATTCAATAACAACCTACCAACTAAGTAAAAGATTTTTCTCATTATAACTCAACTCACATTGGTTTGGGTAAATGTAATGCCTTTTATATGATGTTGAATAATATAGTTTATTTATAAATTAACACGAATATAAAATATTATTAAGAGAAAAAGAATTTAAAAAAAAAGGAATTCATTAATAAATTCTCACAATATTTTTCGATTTTATTAGCAAAGGAATGTTTCCAAATTAAGAAAACTAAACACTTTATTATTTATTAAATGAAATATGACTTTTGATATTTTATTATAAATAAAATAGTCTTTCATAGCTAAATTCGATATGCAATACAATGCAATGCATTAAATAATAAAATATATTATTTTTTTTATAATTGTGTTTGACCGTTTTAGTTTTTTTTTTGAAAATGTAAATTTGAAACTATGTTTTTCTTATAGGTGGTTACTGCATTTCGCAACCCTAAAAATAATAAATTTGTAATTAAGATAAGATATAACTAGAGTCTAACAATGAATCACATCACTTATTAGCTTCATTTTTGATAGTCATTAATTTTTTGTTTGAAATGGGCGTCAGCTAGTAATTAATTTAACTTAAAAAAACATATTATGACTCAGTATTAAATACGAACCTATAAGCTGAAATACAAATCAGAATTTAAAATTTTATCTTAACCCAAACCTGTTGGATCTAATGACTTATAGTGATGGGGTCTATAAAATGCTCCTAAAATAGGTATATGATAAATTAGTATATTAGATAACAAATATTGATTTACTAGGATTGGTAAAAAATTTTTTTATAACAAACTTTATAAAATCATATTTTCTAATATATACCACCGAGGAAAATAATCCCCTAAAAAGTTATTAATAATATATGCATTCATTTTATCTTGTGAAATATATTAAACTTGTTAAAGCAATATTGAATTAACTTAAAAATACTTTATCCTTAGTATAAAATTATCAATATTTAATTGCTCAATACATTTCGATACGTAGGATATAATAAAAAAAATTATTAAGTTTGATTATTTAAATTGATATTTTTTTAAAATTCTATATAAACCAGAGACCTTCATGAGCCGGTCCGCGGCCCGTAGGCCCATACCCGACCCATGGGCCGGGTTATAAACTTTAATAAAATAGTTTTCTTTTTTACCCTTTTTTTGTTTTGTCTTTAATACATTAAAGTTAAATAAAGTTCTTTTTTTTATCCTTCTTTTGTTTTTTGTCCTAAATACATAAAAATTAAATAAAGTTTTTCTTTTGTTTCGTGAGTTATACATTTAAGGTTAACATATGGTTTTTGTGTTTTCTTTTTCTTAGGGGGTTTTCTTGCATTTGGAGTTGTTAGTAAGGTGTTCAGAAAATATAAGTTAGATATTTAGGTCCGAGAGATCGCTCTGCATCCAGCGGTATAATCAGAGTTCCGGAAAGTATAGGGGGTAGGTTTTATCCTTAATTATGTAAGATAAAACTAACACAACTCCTTTTTGCAAAAACGTTCCTTGAAATATGACAGGGCATTCCAGGAATTTCGAGAATATTTCCGGGATAAATTAAGAAAAACTTGGGAATATGTAAAAAGTACATTGAAAACTTACAAAATTATCCATATCATATCACAATATTTTTATTTTCCTCGATGTATTTTAACATCAGCGTATATTATCTCCTTATAAGCAAATACATTAAGATTGGTTCTTTTCATATGTCTATCAAATGAACCAATAAACCTTTATTTGATTATATGACTTTTTTTGTTTTTATCTTTAAGAGTATTTTATTAGGACATTTTTTATTTTTCAAATTTGGGACTTTTTTTACAAATTTCTCTATTAGCCATAATCCCTAAAAAATTGGTGCGGGTAGAATTTTCAGCTCAAAATTTCCGGGAATTTTTCTTTTTTAAAATAATATAATGTTCAATATAAATATTTATGCAAATTATTAATGATTGTACCTTCCTGAACGAATTAAAAATATGACTCTAACTCGTGGTTATAGAGGAAAAGAATCCATTAATCGGTCTGAACCTGGCGGACAGGACGGGATATTTGACTCCACGCTACTTATACATACGTTTAAAAATATAGATTTGAATAATCTTGATAATTACGAGCCTTTTATTCTGTTTATGTAAAATGCCAAATAAACATATCTTCTAATTTGATATTGGCAAAAATAACCAAAAAATTACTGACTCAACTTTAAATATGACAATTATTTTTATACCACAATTTAAATTATCTAATTTTGACGGACAATATTTTTTTATGCACCATCACTCTAGAGTATATCCTTGGATGGAAAAGAGGCAGTACCTCTATTAACATTATATTAAGATTATTTTATATATTAATTTTCACAGTTTGTTACCGATATTTAAGATTTATTTGAATTTTGTGTCCAAATTATTTTATTTCATATTTATACCAACAACATCTTTCAACAAAAAAAGCATTACCTTGCATTTTTTTTTATATCAAAAAATAGATAAAATTATATATATATAATTAATTTCAATAAAATTATATGGATGCCTTACATGATTTTTTTTAATAAGGCTATAATTATAATTATATATTTACTAGTGATGTTAAATCACCTAACTTTGACCAACTCCAATATGGCATGGTCAAGATTATCTCCTAAACAATTGACTTAAACGTCTAAGTTTAGGCTCAACTCAATGATAGAGACTATTTTTTTTAGACTAAAAACTTGACCAAGCTATTTTAGAGCTGGCCAAAGTTAGATGGTTTAACAACACTAATATTTACAATATAAATATTAACTATGTAAAGCAATGTAGCAAATTTTTATTTTCAAAGTTGGCTTTTGTAGCAGCGATTCGATTTTAGTATTAAGAAACCAAGTAATTTTTTTTTTAAACATGTTATCTACCAGAGCCGATATAACCCTATATTGGGACATTAGAGTACTGCAAGGGTTGAGCCCGCGGTAGACTCATCAATAATAGTCCCAACATGTGGCCATAAAATATTAATGTTATATTTTCTTCCTATTCTACCCCTTTTGCCCGATTAAATATCACAATTATTAATGAATTTAAAGATAAGAAAAGTTTCAAAAAAATTAGGAGGTGGAAAATATTTACATTCATTTTCTTTTAATATTACTGTAATAAATAGTGAAAATCATTAAATGATAGCTGAATATTTAAAATTAATGCATAACATTCAAATAAATAAAATAGATATTTTGAGTTTAAGATATCTTCCCAATACTCTTTTTTAAGAATTCGACCCGCCATGAACCGGGATAAGCTTAGCTCTAAAAAAACTTTGACATGGGGCCGCAGGTGGACTTGGGCCAGACAATTTCCGTTTTTAGGTCACTAAAAGAGATACTTAGAATACAGTAATTGATTAAACCACGTTTCACTCGCAAATTTTTGAAAATAATATAGGCAGGTAGAGGTCTGCATTGGTCTGGGTTTCGGCCCACCCGCCCATATAAGAGGGCGGGCGGATGGGCGGGTAAAAAATTTTGAAACTATGGGCGGGCTGGGCGGGCGGGTTAAGGAAATTTAAATTTTTGTTCAAAAACAAACTAAAAAAAAATTATTGTTTAAATGATCTATAACAATATTTCTATTTTTATTGTACCAATCGTTTTTTAAGTGAAGAACATTTACCTAACTATATTATGTAATAAACACAACAATAAAACTTTTTTCTTAGAATAAATAAACATTTTTGCCTATTTAAAAATTTCCTTTGATGGGAATGTAATAAAACTTTTCTAGTGCTTCTTCCGAACGCGGATTTAGCATTGCTGGAAGATTTTTAGAACAAAGAAGAACGTGTTTGAATCCAGAAAATGTCGATTCATTATTATTTTTGCATTATTACATATAATATTAATTTTACATTTATATTTTTTTCATAAATATTTAATTTGATCAAATAAATTGTCCATAATTTACATTGCTTATTTTTATACTTATATTAATTTCCTAAATTATAAACTTTTTGTAGAGATGTAATGCTGAAATATTTTTATTAGATGCTTAAAAAAATGAAAGAATGACCATAATTAAATTTTGTAAGCAGGCTTGGGTTAAAATTTTTTTATAAATAATGGGCGGGCGGGTAAAAATTTTAGACAAATGGGCGGGGTGGGCGGGTATATATTTGAAAACTATGGGCAGGCTGGGTGGGTGGGTTAAAATTTTTTTGAAACATTGGATGGGCGGGCTTTTGGTCCAAAAACCCGCCCAATGCAGACCTCTAAGCAGAAGTGTCTTAGCAAATATACCCCGTCAATAAAAAAACATTATTTTTTTTTTATTTGCCTTCAAAGACGTAGCTTAAGAACCTAGAAAATTAATTTTTATTTTAACACAAAATTAAACTTATCTTTTTCTTGATATTAACACTTATTTAGATTATAAAATTTAAGATAAATTATTAAAATAATATTTATTAATAAAAGTCAACCAAGACGAATTTAGACCTTTCCGTAATCTAGATTTTATTCAAAAACGGTGATTGGCTTCATTCAGATTGAGTTTAGAAACGAAATGGAATATAATTATTTTATCTGCCAGAATCTGCCCTGAAAGACTGGACCCATTTGGTCCACAAAATGATTAAATTCCATTTTGTTTCTAAACTCGATCTGACAGGGTATATTTAAATCATTGTATTTTTTTAAAAAGTTAGATTATTCG